GTTACACTGATTTGGCCTATAAAAGCTATATAGTGATTAACACAATTTATTGGAGTACACTCAATTTCTTTTTCTTGTTCAATTGGGTGGAATGACTATTCCTTGTTCAATATGTAAAAGTAGGGCAAAATAAAGAAGGGTATTTCAAAGTCTAGAAGATAAGAATAAGGTTGGATATTTTCTTATAAATTAGTGAATAAGATAGGAATTATTAAAACCTACGGGGAAGGTATTAATGACTATTCCTATCACATTCCAAAATCTAAAAAGGAAAATGAGCAACATTTCCTAGCTTATTCCTGGAGGGTCAGGCACTTCATTTTATCTTATTTTATTCATTGACCAACAAATGGTAATTCCATCAAATCAAACATAGCCTAAAGTTCCTTCTGCACCCATTGGCTGAAATTGTGCCATGTTTTAATGTAGACATCATTGATAGGTACCTTAAGACTCTAAGGGAGGATTAGGATTGATCTATGCTGTCTGTAAGTGGATGGCTTAATATTCTCAATAAATGCAGTTAGGATTAGTCTACATTGTAAGTGTTGCTCAAGGGAAGACGCTCTATACTGAAGTGTTGCTCAAGGAAAGATGGTGCTGTTGGAGCTGTGGTGTCAATGCTGCACAGGTGGCAGCAAATGGAAAGAAGGCTGCACAGGTGGCAGCAAATGGAAAGAAAGCTGCACAAGTGGCAGCAAAATGAAAAGAAGGGAGAGCTGCACCAAAGCACGGTAGCAGCAAAGTGCAGCAACCTATACTGCAAAATGTTGATGAAATGTTGGTGAAATGAGGCTGAAATGTAATGCAAATGAAAGCAAATGGAAGGCTGCAAAGTAGCAGCAAGAACAGCCACATGGAGCCACACAAATGGAAGCAAGACTTTTAATGTAATCTTGCATTAAATGTTTTGTAGATTTTTCTTTTAATGGATAAGTACTAGGTACTGTTTCTGTATTGAATTTTCTGCTATATATATAATAGCAGAACGATGAATGCAAAAAATGAGTTTTCCCCTAAACTAAAGAGGGAACTCCGGGTGCCCTCCTTCTCCTCCAAGTCCCTTCCTTTTCACCAAAAAATCCAACAGGCGCGTCAATCCTCATTTAGTTTTTTGGCATAGAGAACTGCATGTTTTGAAAAATACAAAGTTGTCCAGATGGCAAACTGAATCTAATTACCAAAGGAATCGTATCTAAAATAGAATTCGTTAATGCTCTGTTTGGCAACTTGAATTTGCCAGCGTGTATTTGAATTTGGAGTGTTCAAATTCAATTTTACTGTTTGTTTTTACCTAAATAAAATGTAATTGAATTTGGATGAAATACATGTATTTTAAAAGAGTAATTGTAATGAGTAAATTCCGTGCATTTCAATTTCACCCTAAAATCCTCGAATTTCAATTTTGAATTGAATTTGGTCTGCACTCTCTTCTCACCGACGGCGATGAGCCGTCGGAGTCCCTCTCCTTCTATTTCCGACTCCTAACTTCAAATTCACAGCTCACTATTCCATTAAAAAAATCTACCTCCATGCCCAATTGCTTCTGATAACTGACGTCTCACCCAAATCATGACTGCTTATACCCATAGATCTACTGGTTCCATGTTGCCCAACCAAAACCCATTACGACCCACCTCCTGAAACAAGCCATGGTGGAGATATCGCTGCTCGGCCGGTTTCAGTTGCACCAGCAGAGGTTCGAATTCAAGCGGCTGGTCCCAGCTTTTCTGTCAACTTATTACAAGACCCTTTTCGCTGTTCTTTGGATTGCCGCGTTCGTCTCTGTCTTTCTCTAGCAGTGGAATGCGGTGGGGGTTAGATTCTCGTTCTTCAGGGGGGCGGGTTCGGGTCGACCCATGCCGAGTTGCGGCCCGTTGCGTTCAATTTGACTGATTTTGGGGGAGTTGGAGATGGGGTGACGCTTAACACGGAGGCGTTTGAGAGGGCGGTGTCGGCAATTTCAAAGCTTGGGAAGAGAGGCGGCGGACAGCTCAATGTGCCACCCGGGAAGTGGCTTACGGCGCCCTTTAATCTCACTAGTCATTTGACTCTGTTTTTAGCTGAGAATGCTGAAATTCTTGGAATTGAGGTTGGTGGTTCAAAAAAAATTTTTTTTTTTTAAGTCCTTTCACTAGATGATTTCTTGAGATGCCAAAATAGGTATGAAGTTTGAAAATTAATAGTGATTTGGCATTACTAATTTATGGAAAGAACTAAGGTGGCAAGGTTTTAGTCTTGACTGTGGAGTCTCTTATATTGCATTTTTGTTGCTAGCTTAAGGAAGTGTGTGGTAGTCTTGTTTAGTTATT